ATACAAAAATCAATGGAGTCCATTATCTATTGATCTCCTACTCCTGAACATGAGGCGTGTCCTGAAGTGCTTGATATACCCAGTTGAAGAAAGTTGGTTTTTCCCTTTCAAGCAAGCATAAGTGACAGTTTTTCAGTTGTTAATTTTTACCCTAGTAGTTAAGTTTCCATTTGTTCATTCATTTTTGAAAAAAATATAACCAGATAAAATATAAGAAGAGAAAATAAAAACTGTCATAATGAAGTCAGACAAGATAAACCAATAGAAGGAAGCACTGTTAGAGTGACCAAGAACTTCAAACTAGATAACCCAGGAACCTAGAGTAAAACAAACTATAACTTGTCTAAAAACAGAATGAAAATGTAACGATAAAATGACTCCTAATGATGTGCTGCTGTACTCAGAGACCATTGCCTAATTCAGCCATGACTTACCTTTTATAATGGCTGATCATAGTTCAGCAAACTGGAACAAAATCTAAAAAGAAGCAACGAGCATGATGGGAGTGGACATGTCAAAGTGGTTGGGAAAAGTCCACAAAGCATCAACCCTACGCGAAGAACTGCAGGCAACTAAAAAAAGCTAGGAGTAGGAGAGGCGGCATTCTCCAGAGAAGAGCGCACAAATTGGTTGCCAAAGGCCAAATGAGCAGTCCTGAATACATGCATCCAAATAGCATTATGCGTACCGAGCAGGTTATATTTAGGCGTGTGTATGCATGCAAAAACAGTCATTGAAAGAAGACAAAAATATGAAGAAGAGGGAAGAGGACTACATGAGAAGGTTTGAAGGGAGAAAAGAGAAGAAATATAATTGGATTATAATATCAAAAGAAAAATAAGCAGACAACCTTGTCTTAGAGGAGCTTTCTGGGATTATAATAGCTCCTTGTCCCACTGGTTAAAGTCATAGTGATCACAAAGTTGCACATAAATATTAAAAACACTTTACATATCGCAAATGTTTTGTCAGAAAGTATTTTTATCATAACAACAAATAATAACTAATTCCCTGATTTAATTCTATAGACTATCTAAACTCATGCTAGGTTTCTGTAGGAAAAAATCACCTTGCTACATATACTTAATGGCCAATGATATTATCAATGGTTATAAAAGTCAGCAAAACTAAGAAATCTTCAAATCATCCAATTGTTATTGCCATCCAGATAATTTAATATCTTTTTTTTCTTTTGGTTTTTTTCAAGACAAGGTTTCTCTGTAGCCTTGGTGCCTGTCCTGGAACTAGCTCTTGTAGACCAGGCTGTCCTTGAACTCACAGAGATCCGCCTGCCTCTGCCTCCAGAGTAATGGGACTAAAGGCTTGTGCCACCACCGCCCGGCTAATTTAAAATATGAAGAGATGAAATAATCATGTATAAAATTACTCTAAGTTAAGATAGCCCTCTTGACAAAGTATAGTTCAATTTTTGTTGATTTGTAAACTGAACATATACTGCAACACATTGATGGTGGGAAGACAGTACAAAGGTTGAATTATTTTAGACAATTTCTCCCATAACTCCCAAAAGAAAAATGGTATCTTTCACATCCTGATTCAAGGTTTTATCTTCAATGTAAACTTTGATCTGACCTTGCAACTTGATCAAGCTGAAGAGAAAGACGGGAAGGAGAGAAAAGGAAAATTAATCATTACAAAAATAATTGAACCAGTAGGAATCATCAGTATTAAAAGGCAACGACTAGAGAAAAATTTAGAGTGATGGACTATTAAAAATAAGACGTAACTTTCCAGCGAAGCAGCTGCAAAGAGATCAGAGATGATTTTGAGAATTTGTTCATTTTCATTTTTTATTTTTAAATACTAATGTGTCACCTTATGTTGGCTCCTAACTATAGACAATGAGAATTTACTAAGTGAATGTAAGTGTATAGTTTAAGGTAAGCTTGATAGTTTCATCAAACTATTCACTCTCACATAGCAAAGACAGCATGAATACTAACTAATAAGGCTATTGTTTATACATTCTTTCCAATGAAACTTTGAACTCTAACTTCCAATGTTTGAATCTCAAGTGATTTCAGCATCCAAGTTAAATGGCACCCGTAGATCTTCTTAGCTAACTCTTAGTGGACTCAGCCCTCTTAAATCACTATACCGTAAAAAGCACATAGGAATGTAGTTTCCTTGTCTTCTTCATGGCTACATTGCAAGCCCTGCATCTTCCTCCATTGTAAATGGACATTTCCTGTCCAGACCTCCCACATGCTGTCCTGGCAACTATTTTCAAATTACCACACAGAGACTTAATATTATTTATCAATGCAAAATATTACTTATAAATGCTTGGCCAGTAAATCAGGGTTCTTATTAACTAACTCTTACATTTTAAGTTAGCCCATATTCCCTATTTATACTCTGCCACTCGGCGGTGCTATTTTAGTATGGCACATACATCCTCTGCCCCCTCTGTGTCAGACTGGCCACTCTGACTCCACCCTTCTTCTTCCCATCATCCTGAGTTTGGTCACCATGCCTCTACTTACTGCCTGACTACGGGCCAATCAGTGTTTTATTAAAACCAATTCAACTGACAAATCTCTATAGTGTACAAGAGGATTATTTCATGCCACTCCATAAGCTTTATTAGTTGAGCTTCTATTCCTACTTCCTGTCTTGACCTATTCAAAGTCAAATTCTGAGTACCTGAAAATAATTCTGCAAGAAAAGTCTACACAACTATGGATACTTATGTCAAAATTACCTAGCTAGAACACATCTCATTTTCCTGCTCTCTGAAATTAAAATGTCTGGCCAACAGTCATTTAGTGTCAGCCCAGTGTTCTATATAACACTGTATTCAAGTATTTATAATACATACATAAAATAAAAATCTATTCTTATGACAACACCCTAACAAATCCAACAAATGTGGCCTTTTTTTTTAATCAAAAGTGGAACATGTTTGCTTGTGTGGAATTAAACAAATATTCAGTAAGATTCTCAGAACTAGCTCCGGATGACACTTGGTTCCTGTTATCATCAGCAAAGAGTCAGTATCCCATAATGAAAGAGAGAAATGGTTGGGGAAATTTGATTTATTCTATCATTTGATTCGGAATAAGGTGAGGATCTGTATCTAAGGTCATCCAAAATATTCACATTTCCACCTCTTTGTAGTCATGTCCCAGACAACTTCATACTTAACATCCCAACTTCAGCAGTTTCTCTCTTTTTTCTTTTTTTAACTGATTTTTATTGAGCTCTACATTTTTCTATGCTTCCCTCCCTGCCTCTTCCCTCCCCTTCAACCCTCCTCTAAGGTCCCCATGCTCCTAGTTTACTCTTGGGGTTCTCACTGTTGTCTAAGTTCTCTGGGATTGTGGTTTGTGGTTCAGCAGTTTCTTATTTCAGAGCATATAATTTAGTTCTTTCTGCCCATTTCCCTTCAAGACTCAAAATTCTTAAACTGAAAACTTGGTTCTGAGTGTTTGAACTTTAGCTTCAGTGATGCATGTTATTTGGGATGTTTTCCAGAGATGGCTTTGTGAAGGCTTAATTATCATGAATAAATACTAAGGATACATAGGAAACAGTATTTAAAAATTAAATCTGTTAATTAAGACTTCACCAAACATTTCCCTTGTGAAGTTGTAAAGACTCTGTCTACCAGACTGCTTCTAAGTGAAGGGCAGTGAATTAAGAAAATGCTTGAAAACCAATGTACTTGCTTACTAATTGATGTAAGGTGTCTCTCTGTATGCTGTGAATATGTTTTATGACCATTGCTTAATAAAGCAGCTGACTTGGCCAATAGTCAAGCAGAATAGAGCCAGGCAGGACATCTAAACAGAGATACAGGGAGAAAAAGAGCAGAGTAAGGAAGATGACAGCAACTGCAGGGGAAGCAAGATGTGAGGTAACAAGCTACGAGCCTTGTGATAAAATATAAACTAATAGAAATGAATTCATGTAAGTTGTAAGACCTAGTTAATAATAAGCCTGAGCTACCAGACCAGAAAGTATGTAATAAATATTAAACCTTTGAGTGGTTATCTTAAAAACGACTGTGGGATCAGGCAGGATAAGAAATTTTTAGTTTCAACTAATTGGAGATTTTTATTGATAAAATTATCATAGCATTCAAAGCCATGTTGATCAGCTTTTCAAAGGTAGCCTAAGCTCTCTAAGAATAATCTTAAATTTGTCTTCAATGAACTGTTTTCAAAGATGAAGCAAAAGTAAGCGCAAACAGTTCTTACTGCTCAAAATAAATTTTCACACTTATTTTATTTTAATATATAAATAAAATTGTAAATTTTATTTACAATAATAGTAAAATCAGATTATTTTGTGAAATGCATGCAACAGTATTACCTTATGCTAGAGTTGTTTGTTGAATTGTTGTTTCTTTGGAAAAGCCAAATTAATACCTTATTTCAAAATTTTGAAAGTACAAACCACTAAATACATTGGTTACATTTTAGAACTTATTGTTTTTTCTGGAGAAAAGAGATGGTTTGAAGACTAAGAAGATAATTCTAAAGATCTTGTCTCCTTCAAGAGTAATTAATTAAAGTTATCTAATCATTCTTATTTTGTTATCATAGCTGAAATTTATAAATGAAGGCTACTTGATATCACTCATCTACCCTCTCAGCACTCATGCATTGGGCCTCCATGCTCGACTATTATAAATACTGGAAATTCAAAGGCTTCCCAATAGATTCAAATTTATGATTTTATACACATAATTGTCATCAAGTTTTAAATTTAGAATTTCAGAAACATCACAGCAGGATGTCAAAAGGTGAGTATAAAAGCATGAGGAACCTGTGCAGTGTACCTGCATAGCATCAACGCATTTTGACCGGGTAGGGCACCATTCTGCTCTTGGCTTTAAATATATATATCCTGAAAATATAACTGACTCCTTCCTTAAGATACTTCTGGAAGAGTTGGGCTGTGTGCTTAGGGGAAACTGAGAAAATATGTTTCTTCACAACAAAACCACTCAAATAAATCTATCATGTTTTTAGCTAATTTTTGAAGGCATTCGAGGTCCTGGGATAGAAGGTGACATCGCTATTGACGATGTATCAATAGCTGAAGGAGAATGTGCAAAACAGGACCTAACAACTAAGAGTAAGTGTCTCTCCTGTTGAGTCTCACTTAATGTGATGGGGAAGTGACATAGGAACTATGACAGTAGCATGTTTCCATTTCATACAAAAAGTTATAGTTTGGTTAAAACTTTCTTATTTCTGAATGTGAATCATCCAAGGTATGCTTAAATCAAATGATTAAATGCCCTTTTTGCCATATTTGCAGCAGCATAAAGTGATAGTAATTTCTATTTAATTCTATGTAAGACTAATGCACTGTAATATTAAAAACATTTAAAATATATTTATTTCTGGTATTTTGTCAGTGGGTTGGAAAACTTTTGCTAAAATATTTGCCAAATCTATACACATAATACTCACATAACCAAGCTGTTTTTACTCCAAATAGTTGAAATACACTGTTTATATAAATGTAGTTATATGGGAATTTAGTGTGTATATTTTGTATTGGAGTAGCCCTACTTATTCTGACATAATCTACTTCATATTTGCTTCACAGTCTTGTTAAATAGTTTTGTTTTTATCTGCAGAACAGTTTGTATATTTTACTTGAATGATATCTTCAAATTTCAATTTTCTATTTCAGGGTCATTCTTAACTGAACATGAATATTTCAAAAGTATTAGAAATAAGTATTGCCTTGGTCCCTAAAGCTTCCTCTCATTTCTTTCATTTGAAACATGTTTTTAGAATCGTATTTTAGAATGCATATCAATTGCAGGATTTTCTTAGACCTATCTGAAAACTATGAGCACACAATGAAAGAGTAATCAAGTTAAATTTAAACAAATAATTCATCAATGATGTAGCACAGTTAAAGGTTTGAAAATGTATGTTTCTCAAGTCTGATGTGCAACAGAGCCTTTTGAACTCAGCATATTTATGGAAAAATTATTACAGTCTAGATATTGAAAGTCAACTATGCAATTACAGCTTAATGTACAAAAGTGACTCTATTATATAACATTGTAAAAAACAAAAAAATCAATAGGTCGTGGTGTCTTTTTATGACGCTTAGGATTTAAATACACCCTTAGTAACAACTACCTTGATTTTCACTTCAGAAAAGATTCTGCTGCACCTGCATGAACCTAGTTTGCCCAGAATACACACACACACACACACACACACACACACACACACAATGTATTCTCTTCAGAGACTGTGGAGTTTAATTTTGCTTTCAGAACAGTTATCAACGATGCTACCCTTACACTAAATGAAGTTTATATCCACGTTGCATGCAAATGTTACAATTTTACCAAAATTAAATGCATTGGATTTCATAATTTGAATTAAACTTTCCAAATGGGGAAGATAAGAGAAAGCAGAAGTGGTGAGAATAGTCCCAAGGAAATGACTCCGAAAGCCTACCATGTTTTCAGTATCATAGTCTGGAATATTCTCATGTCCAAGCTTTCAAATTAGTAAATACAGAGTAAAATGTGTCTGCCATATACATAACTATAAATCCAGGCTGTTGTCCCTTCTGCTTGCCTTAGAATTAAAGCTGATGTGTAGTGCAAAACCTATTTTTTTTTCCAAATTATTTTACGTGTGTTCAATTTATTAGTTCAAACAACATGCATGAGTAGGTTTGTGGAATGTTTATGTCCTTAATGTCTGCTCTGGGCACTTCTCTTCTTTATCTCTAGATTCCGTGGATGGTGCTGTTGGGATCTTAGTGCACCTATGGCTTTTCCCCGTCATCATCCTCATCTCTATCCTAAGTCCTCGAAGGTGACCTTATCTTGGCAGAGGCTATCAATGATTCACCAGGCACTGGCATGAAGAAAGAGTCTTTGTAAATGGACACAGAAAAACAAACAAACAAACAAACAAACTACCAAAGATTCCTCCACTGACTACTGACTCAAAAATTAATAATAAAAACAGCATTTTTTAAGCACTGGGGATAAAAAGACATCATGGAAATATAACTTATTCCAAACTACATAGAGAAGATAATCCTGGCCTGGGTACGGAAGAGACCTTCAGGTGCTTTTGTGGCTACAACGATTACAGCTTCATCTGGTTGAACTCTGGAAAAAGAAAAAAAAAAAGAAAGAGAAAGAAGAAGAAGAAGAAGAAGAAGAAGAAGAAGAAGAAGAAGAAGAAATAAAGAGCTACAGAAATCCTCGTCAAAGCACAAAGTCATGGCTGGTTTTGTTTCAAATGAATAGTTTGCTTGTTACCATGGAAACCTAATGGCCTGCCAACAAAAACCTCACTGTAAACAGGGTACGTGGAGAGCTGGCATTTATTTTCCTTTCAAGAAGGTTTTATGTAGAGAATTAAATAAATGTAGGCCCTTTTACCTTTGGCTGTTACCCTTCATTGAAAATACTCCAAACTCAGAATTATTTAAAGGTTTCATGTTTCTCTCCCCCCAACCCCACCCCACTTTTGCTGTTGTTAGTTTGGTTTTTGTTGTTGTTACTGTTCGCTGTTCTTTTTTTCCTTTATCTCCCTCCCATGGCTAAGCTAGATAACTGTGTGATGTCTCTTTTTGCATGCACTACTATCCAGGACAGTAAACCTGGGCTTACATATTACACAGGCTTATCGGAGTTTGCTTGCGGCCACTTGAACACCCAAACTACGTCATCTGTTCCTATGAAGAAACCAAACCACCATCTTTTATAAATTGCCATGGAAACCAAGTGCCTTCAATGAAACAAGCCTGAATAATTCTCCACTCAGAAGCTTGCACTGCAAACAATGGTTTGTGTAGAACTAGTTTGTAAACAGACGACACAGCCGAAACGTGCAAACTCCAGGCGAGATGCCCCAGCCGCTTCTGAAGAAGAAAGGACCCGCTGCTGCAGAAGCCCATGCAGACAAGATTGTTTGTTTGACCTCCTAGACAGCCATGGCCTTTTGGCTTATTGTCCATAGAAAGGAACTTCCACTGAGACCAGAAATGGGAGCAACACTTTTTTCTTCCAGGTTATTAAATGGGTCAACCAGAGCAAAAGGTTCTTGTGATAATACCTAGCCCAGAAGGTGGTAAAACACAGAAGTGATTTTTTTTTTTTTTAACTCTAACCTCCATTTGAAATGAAATTGGCCCTGCCTTTAGAGGAAACGAGGAAATGATGGAGATTGCTGTGCGGACGAACTCTGCCGCGGAACTGGGCCTGAAAAAGCCGGCTTTATTCTAAACTCTGAGGGTAATATGCCTCTGCCCTTTAGTCAGACTCCGTGCAAATTGTGAAATATTATTTTATTATTTTAACAAGATTAAAAAAAACACTTTTACAAAAAAACAAAAACCTGTAAAAATGATTTTGAGCTACCTGAGGACAAAGCATACCTTTAACCAGCCAGTTTTCCAATGCATTGTAAATTCCACTTACACCTGTTGGTTATGAAAATTTGAAGATCTTTTTCCTTAAATTATCTCAGCTTTTAACTTCATTTAAAAAGACTTTTGTCTAAAGAAGAATATTATTATTATCTGTTCTTTCCATACCCCAGGATTTAAAAAATACTGATTATGCAAGTAATTGGGAATCTAAGTATTAAATTGCAGTATTTGCAAATATTAATATAAAAAGCACAACAAAATGTAGTAGAAATGACAAAGCTTGGTTTTTTAAACAACTGTAGAAATGTTTGTGCAAATTCAATAATTCAATTTAAAATATAATTTTACAGCTCTGTTCAATAAAGCCTCTTTCCAGGTAAGGTATGACAAGCAGTGCGTGTGTTTGTTGGGCAATATTCTCTTATCACTAAAATGAGATTAGTTATGTAATTTACTGGTTATGTTATCTCGGGATAACTCTTCCGTGCTTCATACGCAATTACTGTCTGAGGAAGAAATTTTACTAGAAACACCCAATGCACTTTCCTTTATCTGGAATACATGTAGAAACTGTTATACCTCTATAGGTAAAGAATGAACTAAAGGCATTTTGAAATTTAATGTTTAATTTCATCATCAGTTCAAAATGGGACATATCAGAAAACCTAGGTAGTGATAGAAGCAAGCTAACCCAAATCCTTTAAACTGAACAAAAGGAACAAATTACTATCATAATTTATTTGAATTAATTAGTCCTATTGAATTTTTTTTTCAAAAATTCAAAGGCATTCTTCTATTCTGTCAAACCAAAGATTTCAAGTAAAAGATATATGGGCACTTAGCGTCTGAAAACCGTGCATTTGCCTGCATTGCATGGCCTGTTCCACCGTGTTGGAACTAACCACATCTCTTCACTGTCCAAGATTAGGAAAACACAATTTTATTCATTTTGTTTTGTTTTGTTTTGTTTTTTACATTCTCTTTGCCGGAGCACCAGGGGTATCTTTTGATTTAAAGAGAGGCTTAATTTGTCATCTTCTTTCAATTACCTTTAAGTTGGCTTGAGTGATGATTTTGCAAGTTAAACGTAAAGGAAAAAGACCCCAAAATTCATTTGAAAACATACTTATTCTTTCAAGAAAAATGACAAGGTTTTTCTTTCATCTAAGTTATCCCGAGCCAACAAGCTTCTGTAAGCAAAAGATTCAGTTATTTCATTACGCATTTATCAAATACTAAATAAATTTTTCCTAAACTTTCACATTGTCAGAAAACACACTACTGAGTTCACGAGAACTGGCTGGTACTTCAAAATTCATTTTGATTAAACTTCTAAGAAGTCGCAGAAGACTGTGAAGGACAGGGAGCAGTCAGATGGGGAAACAAACAGACTACTGAGATGACAATAAAATGGGTTTCTCACATGAGATCTGCCTCCATTAGACAAACTAACAGAGAGAACCGGTGTTTTGACTTCAGATCAAATGCTCAGTTGCTGTCATTGAAGGCAAAAAGCCAAAAATGTGGAAGCTTTAAAATGATTTGGGAAAATGAACTGGAAATTTTGTGAAATCGCCTTGTCTTTAATAGAACTAATGATCACGAAACCCTTAAAGCACCTCTCTATCGATGGCATTCCCGTTCCTAACACTGCTATGTCTATCGAAAACTGGCCGCAACAACACTTTCCCTTTGACAATTTGATAATCTATCGGCCTATGATGGAAATAAGCCAGTGGAGCTGATGGATTTGTTGTTGTTGTTGTTGTTGTTATTGCTTTGTTTGTTTTTGTTTTTGTTTTAATGGGGAAGCATCTAACCATTAGGTTTTTGGTTTCTGGGAGACACAACATACCATGTAATCTCCAATTCTTGACAATAATTGATCCCTATTAATCAGAAGCAGGACCATTTTTCTTCAGTTAAATGATGTTCCTTTGCAAGTTAACATTTCTACAACCAGGCCTATTTTGATTGCAGTTAGCAGGATTTCCATGTAGTGATGTGAAGGTTCACACCTGAGCTGAGAGAACCTGAGTATCACCACATTCACGAAAGTTACCAGAAGTGCCAAACAATATCAAGTATGATCTTCTTTTCTTCAAACCTGAAAGTAAGAAAAAGAATCACACTTATAGGATGTCTAACTAATCACGGACTATGCAGTTTATAACCTAATTTCCTTGCTTTTTTAAAAAAGATCAGAGTCTTCTCAGATGCCCTACAGTCACACCTGCCCTTGCTTTTCCGTTTCCTCGCAATTTTCCTGCCATCTGTTCGTATAGATCCACTACGGATCACATGTATTCCTGGTCTGCTGTGGTCCCTGTCTCCATGTGGCTTCCTGTATTCAGTAGATCAGAAGTTTGCTCCATGACTGCATTTCCTTAAGAGCACTGATGAATGGACAGTTAAAATGTCAGGCAGCAGACCTTGACATGAATGGTCTTCATTTCATGTCTCCCATTGATTTGACTCAGCAGAACGATGAATTGTATCTGCGTTAGAACCTAGATAGTCGTTGTACCATGTACTATATAATGAATATAATTCCATTCTTGACTTTCATACTTGGAAATATGAAAAAATATAAATTATAACTGTACTAAGTTTTCACCAAACATGGAATTTATCTTAAGTACTTTATAATAATAAACTTACCTGCCAAAAACATGTGTAATTTAAAGAATAATTAATTCATTTAGTTCTGTACTTAAGACTATAAACCTCAAAGAAACAATTATTTTTCATAATCAATTTATGTCTTATTGATAATTTTAAAGTTTGTGATAGACTGATCTGATTTTGGTAAACTTTTCAAATGATTCTCCTAAGTACATGTTCTTTATCACAAAACCTTTTTTTTTTCAAATGTGCCTTTCAAATACGAGGGCCACTCGATAGACATTTAAAATGGAAAAAATTTACCTTCCCCCCAAAAATTCTGGTTGATGACTACTTCCACTGTTTCAGCTGTGTCTCAGCAAAGCAGACGGTACACTCTTCTTGCAACTGGGCAGTTGATGTCAATGAGGAGTTATTGCATTTTCTGTGAAAACAATAAAATCATAGGGTTCAATCCCAAACTATTTCTTTTCCTACAGCATTCCCTTTGTGACTAACCCATTTAATTCATTTTCTCTAGAGTTGTTTTTAGAACACAATATGTATCATTTTCTACTCTGTCATAGGAGAAAAGCTACTACAAAATTGATTTTTTTCAAAACTAATATAAAAATGACTGAATATTCATAGTATGTATACATATAATTGTGTATGTTATTTCATGAGTAAAGAAAGATATAGAAGCTTGACACTGTACTATGAAGTACATCAGCGAGGAACAGTCCTGAGCGGGTTAATGTCTGCCTTGAAATAGAGGTGAGAGATAAAGACAGGTAAAGCTTCCACAAATTTCTATATGGATTGCTTTATGAGCACATGTTCATTTAAAGCTTAATGAGTTTATGAGTAGTGGTTTCACTACCCTGAACCCATGTGAGAATCTCAAACTGGAATCCAAAATTTGGAGTTGGGCTGAGGTTAAACTCTGGGTAGAAACTGCAATAGTTTTCTCAAGGATATATTTACAACTGATTGAATTTAATTTCAATTGTACTAATTTTCCATAAGTTGATCTGAAATGTATTCTTATTTTTCAATAAAATGATGGGAAATTCTATGCGTAGGGATGAGCTTGGTAGTTTTTTGTTTTTGTATGGCTCTTCAGTGTTGTCCTGGGTTTCCAGGCTATCATTTTTAATTCTTGAGTCTCACCAGTATATTTAAATGTATAAGTTTAATCAAATATGCATTGTATTAAATTTCTATGAAATACGATTTACATTGAAGACCATAAAGTTTAGATGGAACTTAATTTACATTTTGATACTTTCCTTATTCCAAATAGTTTCAGATAGCTGTATGTTATTTTACTTTGTTTTTTTTTCAATAAATGAAATTATGTTAAATACTCTGTTAGTGTTTGGGGGAATTTTCTGCTGTCA